AAGTCCAGGAAGACTATGTCCACTGCTACCCCTGCATCTAATGATCTGGTGATCTGATCGTAAAAGGCCACCAGGTTGGTCTGACAGGACCTGCCACTGATGAACCCGTGTTGGTTGCCCCTAAGCATGCAGTCCCCTGCTGGCCCCTCCTGGATGTGTGCCAGAATAATTTTCTCGAACAGCTTGCCTAGGATCGAGGTAAGACTAACTGGCCTATAGTTTCCGGGGTCGTCCTTCTTCCCTTTTTTGAAGATGGGAACCATGCTGGCCCTCTCCCAGTCCTCCAGCACTACTCCATTCATCAGACTACTTCCAGAGAAATAACAATAACAAGCACTTTGGGCCAGAAGCTATAGCTGATTTAGTTAGTTTCATATACAAGTCTGCCCAGGATGAAGGACTCCTCCAGGAGATATCAAGCTTGGGCTCCCTTGGGCACATCCCTATGAATGGGAACGTGTTTCCCTGGAGGACAAATAGAAGTGGCTCACTTCTGCTGTTGCTAGTCCCTGCGTGCCCCTGAGGGTGTGCTCTGGCACACAGCAAATTGCCACAGAAGAGGTAGGGTAGGCTGGGGCCAGCACCTGGGCTTGTCCCAGAAGCCTTACCAGGGGGGCCTCCTTGGGCTGCAGCAGCAATGATTTGGGTATGCAGAGTCTAGCTGGCAGCTGGAGCATGGCTCTGTCTGGTCAAGCTCTGGTTTTGGGCAGTGTATGCTGCAACCACATGCGCTGTGCCATTCTTTGGCTTCTTTTTTTTTAAACACCAGGATTTCCTAGTGTCCAAACAAACCCACTGTGCTGCAAGGTAGCAGCGCAGCAAATGTGTGCATATGCCACATGCAGTTTACGATGCCACAAACCACATGTGTGCACTTATGGGGGTGCACCCCTTGCATCTTTCTATAGGTTGCTTAAAAAGATAGGATTATTTGTGCTTCACAATTACTAAGGAGCAGTAAAGTGGTGAGTTTCTTAAGCAAAAATAACTGCTGGCCTAGGGAACAGATTCTTTAGCAAGTGGTACTGCTGGATAAATCACGCTCCTCTTACAATGCTGACAGCATTTGATATTGAGACAGCAGAGGATGTTCTGTTTGCCCCTTTCACTTTTTTCCTGAGGGATTTTTTTCCAGCTGCCCATGAAACTCCCATTCTACAGTCAAGTATGCTGGATTCTATACTACTACTAGTAGTTTCATCCGAGGAGCGTGTACCTCTATTCATGCACAATGCGAATAGAGATTAAACTAACTATAGAGTGTGGAAAACAGGGGAGGAGAATCAAAATTGCTCTGAGATGCAGCATTTTGTGGCAGAAGAGGTATGGTGCAATAATCATGTTTTGACATTGGTACTGCATCATATGCACCTGAACAACTTGGGTGAGAGGGAAAGGTACTGTTACTAGTGTTCTGTTGCATTAAAAGGTGTCAAATATGTACTAAGTTTTTGCCACATCAGATGCTGTGGCAGCTGTACTTTCATGTATGGAGTGCAAGTTTCTAGCCCTCCTGTTGCTAAATGTTAGCAGAATGCAAAGTGATGCAGTGACATGTTCCTGAGCCTGACCCCAGGTTCCAAGTGGTGATTCAGGGGTGTTAGCTCCCTTAGCCTTTATGCACCACTACACTACCCTGTGGTGACACTATTATCAGTGTGAACAGCTTTGCTGGCAGATAGAATGATTGAGGGTTAAAAGCCCAGATCCAGCAGGGGGAGAAAGATGAATAGCCCTCAAGAGATGGCAATCTAAAAAAAGGCAAATGTGATGTTTTTCTTGTTTCCCCACCCCCCTTTCCACCTGTGCCCCAACCCCCTCCATGCTGCATCTAATATTATTTAGGTGGCCAGGTTACTATCTGTGAAGGAGATTACTCTACACGTAAGGCTATTTCCCACTGACAGATGTAGCCCTCATATTGTTCTGAATATAGAATTCCTACATTATAAAAGCACAGAGGGTCATCACCTTTTAACCTCTATCATAAGGTTGTGTGTGTCTATTGAGAGCACCATGGTTGGTAAGAAAGGACAGTTTGTTTTTTTTGTTTGTTTCTCCCCCCCCCCAAAAAAAAAACAAAAAGGAGGATTAGATGCCTTTGACAAAGTCCTGTCCTCATTACTGAGCACTGGACTCCAGGGGCACCAGTTTTACCACATGATGGTGAAAGAAGGACCAGTAAAGACTCTAGAGCAGCTCTTGCATTTGACTTAAATGCTTTTTATTGACAATGTCTCCGAACAATAATAAGCAAACAATGCTTAAGAGTTTCATCCAAGTTCACTTTCCACACGTCCAAAAAAGACCTCAAGGTAGAAAAAAATAAAATAAAAATATAAATATCTGAGAATCCATCTTCATAAATAAATTAAATGCACAATAAAAACGTTTTCATGGAAAACTTATGTCAGAACATTCAGACCACCTGGACAATGCATGATCAGTAAGAGAACGATGAACACTGATGTTGAACTACAGTACATGGACATAGCCATCTATCTACCTACTAGAAAATAAAGGAGAGTCTCTTTTGCCCCCCCCCCCAAGTTAAGATGGGTCATTGCTAAGTCATCAGAACACGATATTGCCAGGAACACAGTAGTTAGTTAGATCAGCTGCACTAGATAACGAGTTGGAGATACCCAGCACCAGGTTAAATTCCAAGTCATGAAACCAAAGAGCTATTCATTAATTAATGCTAGTGATACTAAGGAGGGAAGGGGGAAAAAAGTCACCAACCCAGCCATGTTGGACATGCTACAGACTACCAGCTCTCATGGATGGGGCACTGGGGACAAGACGAACTCCATGCGATTGATTTGCTACATCTCTGGAAGAGGTGCGAGGCCTCCCCGGGCAGCACCCCGCAAAGTCCTTGAGCGCAGGTCCGGGCTGCCCCTGCCCAGCTCGGGGTCGGGAGGGAGGCTCCTTCAGCGGGCAGAGGCCCCCCTCGAGCAGCAACAGCAGGGGGCTGGGATCCGCGGAGTCCGTGCCCTGGGCCCGGCCCTCACAAGGCCAGCAGCGTGGGGGAGCTGAGCGAGTCGGAGGAGGGCTCGTTGCTGCTGCTGCCCTTCCGGTGCGCGGCCGCACAGCTGGGGAAGGCGTCGGCCTCGGGGTAGGTAAATACGAAGGTGGAGGTGTAGGCGCTGGGGCAGGGCGTGCAGGTCACCACGGGCGTGCAGAGCGGCTCCAGCTCCCCGCCGGCGCCGGCGCCCAGCGCCTCCCAGTCCGCCGCGTAGAAGGCCGAGGAGCCGGCCAGGTCCATGTCGGGCACGGAGCGGGCGGTCTCGCGGGACGAGTGCGGGAAGAGGAATTCGTCGAAGGGCTCGGCCTTCAGCTCCAGCCCGCTGGCCTTGGGCGGCTCGGCCGGGATCGGGGCCGGGGCCGGGGCCGGGGC